GCGTTGAGTATCACGCCAAGGCAAAGCACTTCCAGTTTCTTCTGCTGAGCAACCGATTTCTTCATCCAGTAAAAACTTTGATATTTAAACTTGTCGTGACTATCGATTGTCATGAGAATATCAAGGATGCTTCTTTAGTTTCCACCTTCCAGAATCGCTGGGCGGCTACTAAGTGCTGAAAACTTAGTGCACACTTGGTATACACACACACAAGCAGTCCTCCACCAGCTGCTACTAAGTGCTGAAAACTTAGTACACGCACGCACACACACGCAGTCCACTACCAGCTGGAGGCTGCAGCTGCTTGGCGCGACTACCCGGCGCATGCGCGTCCACTGGAGAGCGAGATAAGTCTCCGGAGCAAGGGACCCGCCGAGAGCCTTGCGCGTGCGTCGGCGCTCAGAGTGACGTCACGTAGGGTCAGGGGTCACCGGTAAGATGGCGGCGGCGGTGACCTTCCGTCGGCTGTTGATTTTGCCTCGGGCTGCGCGGGGCTTCGGGGTGCAGGTGGCACCGGACGGGGAGAAGGTCACTCACACTGGCCAGGTAATGGCCGCACCCGCGCGGGCGGCTTGGCTTGGGGCTGGACTGTGGTCAGGGCTCGCGGAGAGTGGGCGGCAAAGATGCCGGCGCTGTGGGGGCCGGGCTGTGCATGCCACCGTCGAGTGCCTTCCCCTGGGCACTGTGCAGTGCAGCTACCAGTCCTTCCCATCAGTTTTCAATGCCCGTGAAATAACTCGAGGGCTGAGTTGTACTCCAAAGCGCAACGGCCTTCAGTGTAACGGTGGCCAGAAGATGGGACGTGGCCCGATAAGCTAGCATGTCAACTAGAAGATTTGGGAGGGGAGGATGCAGCTCTCGGGCATATGTGACATTAGGCTGGGTGCGTCTTCTCTGCGCCCCACGTTTCCAGGTCGCCTCAGGCTGCTGTCATCCCGTTCAGCTCATCCCCATTGGGAATCCCACCGGGAGAGGCAACTGCTTGCACAAGTACCCAGCCCTGGAGTGCTCATCAGTGGCCTGAACGTCAAGAAAAACATTTTCCTATGATACGTGCGATCGACATGATGTAACCTTTTTCACAATTAGACTAAACGAATCAGTAGGCTCACTGAGGAAGGAAGGAGATGGTCTTTTTCACAGATGGTCTTTTTTTTTTTTTCAGGTCTATGATGCTAAAGACTACAGGAGAATTCGGTTTGTAGGTCGTCAGAAAGAGGTGAGTAAAAGATGTGGTGAAAGTAGGCATTCATAAAACTTACTTATACATCCCGGATCCAAAAGTCTGAGATGCTCCAAAATCTGAAACCTTTTTGAGCACTGACAAAATATCACAACGAATTCCATTCCTGGCATCATGTGGCAGGTTGCAGTGAAAATACAGGCACCCTAAAAGCGTTATATGTAATTATTTTCAGGCCGTGTATAAGGTATAATGAAACAAATTAATTTTGTATTTATACATTTGAGTCCCATCCTCAGGAAAACTCATTATGTATGTATAAATATCCCAAAATCCAAAACCTTTGTGGTTCCAAGTACTTCAGATAACAGGTACTCAACCTGTATCACCAAGAAGAAATAAAAGTAAGATTTAAAGAAGTTCTCCCCATATCTCAATCAGGCTGGAAGCTCTGGAGTTCTAAATGTAAATTGTGCCTATTTCTGTTTCTTCTTTTTTTTTTTCCCTCGAAATATATCCCATCCCATAACCTTCTGTAACAATGATTCTGGTATTTGCATATAGGCAGTGATTTTTTTTTTTCATTTCTGTGTCTCTCAGATTAATGGAAATCATATCAACTTTTTAGAAAATTTACTCTTTTACTAACTTCTTGAGGTAAGCTTTACACAGTTCTCACCAAAGAGGTCAAGCTGTGTTTTCACAGAGCTACCAACAAGGTGAAATGTCTCTTCTCTGAGTGGGTCTACCCCCTGCACATGCCACAGAGGAGGGTCAGTTAGTTCAGACCCTGTGACTGCTGCTGAGGAAGGAGTGTTAAGGTTGGAACAAGCTTCTGCTTGCTTAAGCCTGTTGCTTTTTATTGCTTCTCTGTTACTCTTGTCCAACATCTCCTGGACTTTTTCTTCTGGAAATTGAGGCAGTCCTCCATGTCTACCTTCAGTCATCCTCCCCCTCCACAGTCAGCTTGTTGACTCTTTTTTCCACCATAGCAGTCCCTAAGTCAGCGTTTCCCATCCTGTGATCTCGCCTATGTTGCCCCTTCCCAGTGTCTGGCATTTTGACACTGCCCCGGAGCTGCAGGGCATGTTTCATGCATTATGAATTCATGTTCTCAGATTTCATCCAGTTTACTGTGTGTGTCTGATGCGTGTGTAGCAGACAAGTTTGTGTCTCACCTGAGACTTAGTGTTTGGTAATGCTGCTTAAGCCTTTGGTTGAGAAGGATCCTAAGGCCTGCTCCAGGTTCACTGAAAGAGTGCTGGTTGATTCTGAGGTCTGCCGGGAGTGTGGTGGTGGAGGGCTGTGTGTGGTGCCTCTAATTGTGTCGTGGAACCTGAGTGCACTGCAGCTCAATGGGCTTCAGGGTGAGTCTGGCTTCAGTTTTTTCACTTGTAAGTTGGGAGCACCGGGGGTTATTCACAGTGAGTATTTGTTGTGGTAGGTGCCTGGTGAGAGGAGGTGGATTGCCACAGGGGTGGCATATGGCAAGTCCTCCTCCTTGCCTGTTCTTGATCATTGGTGCATACTTGCTGCATACACCCTGCCTTCAGTCCTACAGTTCTGAACCAGGGGCATGTGGTACTGGGAATGGGACAGTTCTGCGTGCTGTCATGAATATCAGGTTCTCCTGTTAAGCTTGTGAAGATGACATCTGGAAGCTGGATACCAATGGATGTGAGGGTCAGCAGACCCTATGGGTCTTTTCAGCAGCTGACTGTGGAGATGGGGAGGTGCAGTGTCCACTTTCAGGTGTCCTGGGCATTGGTAGATGCTTGTTACTGAGGCCAGGGCTGGATTCCACATCTTCGCTTGTTGGGTGGCAGTGGCAGGGATGTGGGTCAGGTAGCTGAGGAGCACATGGGTCCTAAAGCTCTGGTCCCAGATCCTTGGCTCAGCTCCTACAAGATTTGGCAAGAGCGTGCAGGTCCCTGTCACTAACACCTCAGCTGAAAAATCTTGTGTGTGGTTTCTGGCTGGTCTAGTAGAGGGTGATGAGGAACAGCTTACAGATGAAACTAAGAAAGTCTGAGTTAGTGGTGCGGTACAGGTGAAGAAGTGCTGCACTGATAGTGAAGTTGATCCTTCTGAGAAGAGTACGTGCAAATTCTGTTGATGCAAACAATCAGTTGTAAGCATTGCTTGAGACAGAGAAACACAGATACACAAAGTGTGGTGTATTCACTGTAGGGTGCTACTCAGCCATAAAAAGGCAGGTTGTGCAGGCACATGCTGCAGTTGGGTGAACTTTGAGGATGTTAGGCTCATGAAATAACCAGAAGAGTGCTCTACTTGCATGAGCTCCCTAAAGTCTTCATGTTCAGATGTGGAAAGTGGGAGGGCCAAAGCTCACGGTGAGCCAATCAGTTAGAATTCTGGAGGGGAGTGTATTATATTCTGTATATACTTACCACACTTGCTGCACACCTAATGGTTGTTGAGGTGGCAGATTTTACAAGTGTTTTACCATAGTAAGAAAACAAGAACTGGGTGTGTGGTGCACGCCTTTGGTTTCAACTTCTTGGGAGGCTAAGGTGGGAGGATCAGTTGAGTCCAGGAGTTGAAGGCCAGCTTGGGCAACATAGCAAGCAAGACCTGTCTCAAAAAAGAAAAGAAAAGAAAAGAAAACTTGAGGAGAAAAGATGGCTTGGGTTCCTGACAAGACTTCCAGGTTTCCTCTGAGGCATTTGAAGTGATGCTCAGCTGGTGTTTTTTGTTCCAGGAGACCACTGAGGTGGGGAAGGGGCTCACGCAGAGGTCAGGCTGAGACAGAAAGGGTGTTGGGCATTATTGCTGAGCTGCGGGTTGTCAGGTTGGGCAGAGGAGGTAAGTGTCTCTCATCCCATGTCGCCAACCAGGCCATGTGGCTCTGAGGTACACCACAGATGGCCACAGGAAAGCAAGAGTGCCCCCAGGGAGTGCTAGGGTGGCCTGGTGTCACAGCAGAGGAAGCTGTGGTGATAGAGGATGAGTGGGGTCACCAGGAGGACAGCTGGAAAAGTTGCCTGTCCAGCTCTGTGCAGGAGGGTGGCCATAGCTGCCCGTGTTCAAAGGAATGCTGAGCGTGGGGCATACAGACCCTGTGTGCTGGTGATGGAGACCTGTCTGCACTGTCTGTCCATCCTCCCAAGGGAACAGGGCTCTGGGGGCCCTGGAGAGCCCCTAGAGTGGCTGAGCCACAGTGACTCTCCTGCTGTCCCTTCCCGAGTGCGTGATCTCAGGTATGGGGTGGCGAAGACATTGTGACTGTGAAGAAGATCGAGTCATAGGCAGGGGCTTCCTTTACATGGACTTAGACTGTCAACAGTGGCTGTAAGTCAGGCTTACTTGACCCCAGGACCCAGAGGAAAGTGTTTGAAACTCAATTCACACCCCTCCCCTGGGGTCAGAGGTAGTAGTGTCACTGCCAGGCACTAGCAAGATGAGACACAGGGTTCTGTCTGCCCAGGGTAAGTCTAAGAGCCACACAGAGCATTTCATGCAAAACTGCTTATTTTAAAAATTAATTTGGATGAAAACTTGTTTTCTTGTGATTTAAAAATTATGTACACATACGTACATCTGTTAGCTAAATGTAATTATTGGTGTTAACATAAAAAATACCTGGTGTTCTTAATAACTGAACTGATTTAGTTTATTTTAAACTTACAAGTTTCCATTAATGTAGTCAGTATCGTACAGAGTATTGATTCAGCTGGGTTAGTTTTTGCATTTTTCTTGATATGGGTTCATTGAATTGTATGTTTTATTTTTGCCTTTAAAAGACTATCTTAGATTCACATAAAAGAATAGTCTTTCCATAGTAGGTGTCACTCCCCAAAATGTAGGCGTTTAAAAAACTGAGAGCAGCGTACCAAGAAATGAATTTAAACCTAAATGTCTTCATGCTTCAGTCATCCATTCACGACGAGGTAGATGAAAGGACAGTTTGTGTTTTTTCTGCTTGTACCATGTGTATACAGGACTTGTTTCATAGTGGTGGGAGGGTCAGGGAATGTGGGTCCAGACAGTTCTCCCACTCCTCCCTTCACAAGGCCCAGTATGCTCCTCCTTGGTCCTTTCTGAGGGGAAGGTGGCGAGTCTGTGGCTGGGGTGGGTTGGGCGTGGGTTTCTTTGTATTCCTGCTGCTGAGCTGAGTTACGGAAGCTGACATTAATAATGGGAGGTCAGGGTCACCCTGAAGCTGTGCAGTAAGTGACAGGAGGGCAGTCTCTGTCAGTCACCAGAGTTGAGGCGTCAGCTGCCCTTCCCGCAAGGCGACGGCTGGTCTCTCTGATTGCTGTGATGGGGGCCTGGGAGTTTGTTAGTGTGGCCTTTGTGACATGTTGTCACTTAGGCAGACACCACATTATTTACACCATAAGGTTTCATTTGTATGGCTGCTAGCTTCGCCTGCATGGGCTGAGTGGAACATCCTTCCTCTCCTGGCCTGCTGTAAGGTGCTGGTGTCTGGGGAACAGTCCAGCTGTCACTGAGGACGTGTTCAGGGAGCATGTAGAACCACAGCAGAGGACGTGCAGAGGCCGCCTTTCTGCTCCAGTGTGCTTTCATTTCCAGTGGCTTCCACTGTTTCCAGAGACAGAACCCACAGCAGTTGTACCAAGTGGTAGTCTGTAGTTGACAGTGCTCCCTAAAAGTGCTTATCCCTTTCCAGAAAACCCATGTGTCTGTGAGCTCAGGCCTCAGAGTGCTGTCGAGCGGTGCCTTGCATCTTCTGTCTCCGGCAGGGGTGCCTCTGTACGTGAGGGTGCAGTACTCCATGCTCTGGGTGTGTGTCTTCTGGACACATAAGCTGCTTTAGAAAAGCGGTGAGCTGCTGTCTTTTAGGGTTTTTAACTTATGAACGCTTGTCTCTGCCTGGGGAGGTGGGAGTCTGGGCTTCAGGGCCATAGGCCAGCCTGGCCTTGTCTGCTAGGACTGAGCCAAGACAGCAGTGGTCATCCATAACGATAAACACAGCAAGAGTCCTTCCTGAGCCAACCTCCCTAAGTGATCTGGCAGACTGTTAATCTGTGGCACCTTTGCGCAATCCAAGCCTGCTGCCCTGTGACCTGATGGCACTGGAGGGGTGGTGCTCTGCTTCTCCCCTTGTGTCCCTTGGTGTCTGCAGCAGTCACCGAGTCTCTGCCCTGCAGAAGCGAGTGGCTTTCATGTTGTATGTTGTCTTGTCCACTCTGCTAAGGTTCAGGATGGGAGAGAAGCTAGTGGCACTGCGTGCTAGTGAACTCCCTGGGAGTTGTTCAGACCTTTTCTGCTGACAGCCAAGGTGCCATCAAAGGACAACTGATCTCTCTCCCTGGCTTCACAAAGGAAGAAGGGTGGAGAAGGAAGGATTGTGTCATGCTCACAATAGACGTGGCGTGTGTGGAGGGACTTGTGCACACTCAGAACTGGGTCTCAGAATTCTTTCCTGCACAGGTGGCCACCAAGCTCCACTTGTGCATTTCCAGTGCCACCTGCCTCCTCTGCTTGGCATTTGCTCAGGGATGCCTGAAAGTATAGGATTGTGGTCATGTCAGACAAAGCTCAGGTGCCCGTCAGTTCCCTGGGTTTGCCATTGTGGCATTGGCTTCCACAGAGGTCAGCCGAGGTCATTGCCAGGTGGTTATTTGACCTTGGTTCTGTTCTCCAGCACCCAGTGCCACAGCACCAGAGGATTTTGGATTAGATCTTTGGTGTCTTGTTGTGGATCTAAATCTGCTACTGCACGCCTTCAAAAGGCACCAATGTGCCGGGCACTGGTAGCTCATGCCTATAATCCTAGCTCCTCAGGAGGCAGAGATCAGATGGATCATGGCTCAAAGCCAGCCCGGGCAAATAGTTTATGAGACCTTATCTCAACAATTCCCACCACAAAAAAGGGCTGGCGGAGTGGCTCAAGTGGTAAAGCACTGCCTAACAAGCATGAGGATCTGAGTTTAAATCCCAGTGTTGCCTCCCCCCTACAAAAAACAATGACACTAATATGACAACAACACACCTAAACATCACAGTGACTACACAAAAAACTTTACAGTTTGACTCAGTACAAGGAAATTTGTACATTGCAGTCATTGATGTGTTGTTTAAATGTTTTATCTGTAAGCTTCTGTTCTTCCCTGGTCCCTTCCCTTTTTCTTAAGATCTTACTTGGTCAGGAGTTGGTCCTGTCCCTGTTTATCTCCTGTCCCTGCAGAGAACATGGAGATCCAAGACGAGTGATCCGAGGGAAAGAGTAGTTGATAGAACATTTTAAGCATTAATAAATGGCTGCATTACATACCTCTGTGCAAATAAATTGGAAAATTTAGATGAAATGGATAATTTTGCAAGAAAATACAGTTTAATAGAATTGACCCCAATAAGGGTAAAACACTGTCATAGGAGCATTCCCAGAAGAAACAAGGTTATTAAGAAATGCCCCTTCAAATGGCACCAGGCCCAGGTGACTCTGTAGGGAAGTTCCACCATACCTTTAGGTGCCTAGTAATCCTACTGCTGTGTTAGTTTTTTCAGACCATGGAGCACAGAAAACTAAGCATTCTGTAGGGCAGATGTTAACCAGCCTGTCCAAGTGACCAGCACTGAGGTCCCTACGGGGAGCAGACTGGTGTCCTGTACCAACAGACACAGCCTGAGAAGCAACTGCAGAGAATGCAAGTAGGTATATTGAAAAACATTCCAGTTACAGGGCCTAGGGTCATGGTCCACAAGAGAGCTGACCCCAGAAGGATGGGGTGCTGGGCCTGCGGAAGAGCTGAAGGAATGAGTGGTTTGCAGATTGGCACAGATTGGGTAAATACCCATACCACACTTCCTGGGGGAATGCCACATTGAGGTTATATGAGATTGTGATGGGTGTTTGAACTCAGGGCCACACACTTGCTTGAGCCATGCCCCCAGCCCAGCCCAAGATCATGTTTTCATGCAACACACATGGGACTTTTTAGAGCCTGTGCTCCTAATGGGTCTGGAAGACATATGCTTGGGTGTGGGGAGAGAAGGGACAAGACACAGCAGGAGAGCAGGTGGGACAGCAAATGGGGCAGAAGTGTAAGGATCTAAGCAGGGAGAAGACAGGAACTTTGTATTTGAATTCTTTCTGGAAGTGTCAGATTATCTTCCATTGCAGGGTAAATGTGTGTGTATGCCTGTACTTAATTGAATTTTTATGTGTCTTGAAGCACTTTAAGGATGATTTTAAGTGAAACTGAGTGACAGTGCATGAATTTGTGGATGCTGGCTACATAAACTGTATGAGATCATCAATATTTTGTATTTCTTGTTCTAGGTGAATGAAAACTTTGCCATTGATTTAATAGCAGAGCAGCCTGTGAGTGAGGTGGACCATCGGGTGATATCCTGCGATGGTGGTGGGGGTGCTCTGGGCCACCCCAAGGTGTACATAAACTTGGTATGTAGTCCCAGCCACTTGCCTGCACACTTCTGAAGCTGCTGGGTTATCGGTGCTCACCTGCAACACCCCTGCTCTTGCTGCCCCTCTTGTCCTGCTCTCAGTGGGCTCCACGCACTCATTGCTGCACATTTGTACAGCCAAACATACAGCAGGGATTGAATAACAAGGCATGTTAGAAAACACCTTTCCCGCTGTGGGGTTGTGGTCAGTGTGTCTAGTGTGGTCAGCTGACACACTTCTACCCAAGGAGTGTAGCAAGTAGGCAGGGCCATAGCTGTGAGCCAGAAGTAGCTGTGGGGGACCCTGGATGGCCCTTTGGGATGGCTGTGTATTCTAGGGTGGGGGTCTGAGGCCAGGGTCCCCATGAGTCAGGTTGGGATCAGGATTCGTGGACACAACTTCCAAGTTCAGTCCTTGTATCATGTTTTCCCAGGAGTTTCTAGTTAACAGCGTATTTCACGGTTTACCTACACTTTTTGATATGTGATGTTTATTAAATTTGAGATAGAATTTAGAAACAGGAGATCTTTCCTTTTGATTTTTTTCAGGACAAAGAAACAAAAACAGGGACATGTGGCTACTGTGGCCTGCAGTTCAAGCAGCACCATCACTAGTGTGGGTTGACCCTTGCCTCTGCGTGGATGGAAGCATGTTCATGGTGGGCATGCAGTGTGGGTCACCACTCTGTGAATGGTGTGTGTTCCCAGTGCTGAATAAAGCAGTGGCCCCACCACAGATGGTGAGCTTGTTTCTTTCATGGTGGAGACTTGTAGAAGCAAATGGTCACTTAGCATGGGACCTGGAACAGCTTCACTTCCAGTGCTGGCTGCTCTGTGTAGGTGCTGCGCACTTCCACAATGGCTCCTCTCATCCATGCAAGGCCTGGGCACCTTCCCCTTGTATACTCCCCCTGGTCCAGGGAGCCCAGGTGGCCACATGGCCAATGTGTAGGCCTCAAACTCTAGCCTATCTGGCTGGGAGCTATGCTCTCTTCTAGTCTTTTACCTGCAGAGCACAGCTTCCTTCCCTCCTCATCCTTAGGATGGAGCAGCATCTTAAAGCCCTAGAATCTAGACACCTGTTGAAAGGTGTTAAAAATCACATACCAGCCAAATGAAGGACAGTCTGTGTTTAAGACTCAGGGTTGTAGTGCAATGTACCACTTAACAGCAGCTGGCTGGAAAGAAGATTCACAAGTTGCTAAGGACCCTGAGGGAGGACCCAAGAATGTGAGAACCCTGAGGGAGTGTTACTAATCTTATAGCTGCCTGGGGTCCCTTTGTTCTATCCCAGTAGGGGTGGTGGGTGGGCCAGGAGAAGCTCTTCCACTGCGGGCAGTCTGGGCCCTCAGTGTCCTAGGCCTAGGGGCTCTGCTGGCAGACCCAGAGGCTCACAGCTCCAAGACTTGGGAGCTAGGGGCCTATCGCTTCAGGCTTTAGAAGCTGAAGACTTGTGGCTCTGGACACTTGGGCTGAAGGCTTATTACCCTAGGCTTTAGCCACCAGTGGGCTGGTACTTGGCAGGTATTGTAATCCTTGGCTTCTGGCAACAGTGTGGAGAGCAGTAGACAGCAGTAAGCAGAGTAGGCAGCGCCTTCCAGTGTTACAGCTCTCCTGCAGGTCTTGGGTGCTGGGACTCCCAGCCCTACAGTGACAAGTGTTACAGCTTGAGCTAGGGTCTGTGAGATCCTTGGCAGCTCCCTGCAACTCTTCGAGTAATGAGGACCTGCAGTTTTTCTCTGGCTCTTCACAGCCTTCTGTCTTCAGCCTCAGCTCTCCTTCTTCTTGCCTACTATACTTCTGTCTCTCCTTGTCTCTGACACCTCTGCTCTGCAATGTTTCATCCCTGGTCATGCTCTGGAACTCTACAGTTGCCCTCTCCTTGCTATTGCCACCGTTGCTGGGGCCTTCACCATTGCTGCTGCCTTCACCACTGCTACCACTGTGCTGCTGCTTTTATCATCTCCTCTTTATGTGACCAGTTCAGCCCACTCTCATAATGAGAAAGACCAAAAGGAGGCAAGACCATCACTGGAGAAAAGCATTTTATTGGGCCAAGTGCTACAACAACAGGGGCAACCTATTTATAGCCAGAAGGAAGGTGCGTCTACACCAATCATAGCAGACCTTCATGCAAATGAAGTACTGTGCTTACATCAATCATGACTCAGTCCCTCATGCAAATGGGGACCACACTTGCACAAATCACAGGAGTCTCATACAAATGTGAGGCTGTACCTGCATCAATCATAGTCTTTCATAAATGAAGTACTGTGTTTGCGGCAGTCCTAGGCCTTCTGCAGGCCATTGGGGAAATGTTCCTCCTCTGGCCTAGGTGGAAAGGGCTTCAGGGTCATCTAGAGTTCACTGAGGCTGTGATGGCAAATGTCTGGCACCAGTGGTGTGAAGTAGTTGTGCCTGTTCTGAGGAGAGTGAGCAAGGAAAAACAGTGAGAACCAGTCAGAAAGGAGCAGGGAACTGTAATAGTGTGGAGAATCAGAGACAATGCAGAGTACAAGCAAGCCTCAGTGACTCCCTGGCATAAAGCAGTTCAGAGAGTGTGGTCCCCCACACTCATGGCAGGGAAAGCTGTGAACCAGATCACCTAGGGCGTGGCTTGAGAGCATCTGCAGCAAGGTGGCTCTGGAGAAGAGATTCCATATATCATCCAGCAAACTCAGTGCTCTGACCAGGAGTCATCTCCAGATGAGATCTAGTTAGGAACTAAACTCCACAGAGCAATCAGTTCAGGGTTTCCATGGATGCCCTGCCTATTGACTCCCAAAGTCTTGTGCAGACAGCCCACACAGTCAGTTGTGGCTGGGGGACACTGGCACAAGTCTGTCGAGAGTTTTGAGCAGAGGGAAGTGTGGGCTGTGGCACGGGAGAGGGGACAGCGCCTGAGATCCCACCCTCCATGACAAGGAGCAAGATCCATTGTGTAAGGAAGGTATGGCGAGGAGGCCAGGTCTGCGAGCACCTGAAGTGAGAGTAGCAAGTTCCTGAGTTCTCACACCCCCACAACAGTGCATGGTTTAATTGCTTCCTATTGCCGTGCTTAAACAGAGTCATGGCAGAGCTCACAGACTGAAGTCCATGGGACCAATTGTAAACAACCTACCTGGCCCACAGACCGCGGAAGCTTGGCCAGTGAGGAGGGCACAAACATGGTGGCACCTCGCACACAGGCAGGAGTTTTGGAGCAAGTGTGTACACTCAGAAAATAGTGTCTCCAACTGGGCAACTCGGAGGTGATGTTTTAGTTGGTCTGCTCCCTCCTTGCCCCCCACCCCCCACTGTTTTCCCTCCATCTATTCTATCTCTTCTTATTCTTCAATAGTTTTTTCTTTTTAAAAATTATGATTAGGATTTCCTCACTCCTACTACCTCATTTTTCTCTTTTTAAAAATTAAAGTAGGACCTTTCTGTCTCTTGTCTCATTTTTCCCTTTTAAAAATTAAATTTAATGCTGGGCACTGGTTCTAGCTACTTGGGAGGTTGAGATCAGGAGGGTCACAGTTTGATGCTAGTCTAGGCAAATAGTTTATGAGACCACATTTCCAAAATAACCAAACAAAAATGAACTGGAGGTGTGGCTCAAGTGGTAGAGCTCCAGCTTTGCAAGCACAAAGCCCTGAGTTCAAACCCCAGTTCCACCAGAAAAAACTTAATTTTACTTTTATTAATTTTTAAATTTTTAGTTTATTCTAGAATTTTTTGCCATGTTCTATTCTATGGTTCTTGGTGCTGTGGTTGTTGTTTTTACTTGATTGTTGCTGTGCTCTGTGTCTTGCTTGCTTTTATGTAGTGGTTGCTGCTGCTGCTTGCTTTCTTCCTCGGGAGTGGAGTGGGGGTCAAGCCTGGTGCCTCTGGCATGTTGGGTGGGTGTTTTGCTGCTGAGCTACACCCACAGCCCATTTGCTAGAAATTGCATCCGACTGCAGCCACAATCAAATCCCACTCTAATCTTGGGAGATGATTCAACTTACAGCACAGAGAAGATAGAAGCCCCCAGCTGGCGACCCAGCACCAAGAAGGCATGAATGCAAGGGTACTGACACTGCACCTCATCATTTATCCCATAGTAGCACCAGAGAGAAATAACACAACTGGTGAACATTGCCCCTGCAAGGGACCTCAGCAAGGTCACCCTCAGACACTTGCAGACCACACATTATCGACAAGACTGGAGGAGTAACAGAAGGTGCACCCCACATACTCTACCTGCTTGAACTACCAGAGAGACCCCATTCAGGCGAGACCTACACAGGATGTGGGTCTCAGGCTCCAACACTGCACTATGTCAAAACCACCAATCACAGCCAGAGAAGCCACAGGGAAACTGTTCAGTTCATTAGGAATTAGATTCAACACTACACAACAAACAGTCACCCAGGACACATTGTCAAAAGAAGGCTTTTCCTTAGGAGGGCCCTCACTTATACGTGGAAGAGATACCCATCCCATCAGATCTTCAGTATCAACACAGAAATAGAAAAACACTGAACAACAAGGCAGCATTACTCCTCCAAAAGTCCACAGACTATTAACTGGGCTTCCAAAAATCTTAGGATGGATGAAATGCTGGACAAATTCAAAACCTTGGTGTTAAAATGATCAATGAGTTCAAGAGCATAGAAATAAATACCTGAATGAATTAAGGATGACAATACAGAGTATGAAAGTGCAGTTCAATAAAGGGTTAAGAGATTCTTAGAGATTCTGAAAACCAAACAAATCCTGAAAATGGAAAGCTAAATAAGTTGAAAAAAACCAAAAAACCTCAGTTGTAAGTCTCAGCAAAGGACTAGATCAAGTGGAAGACGGAAAACCAGGGACTGATGAGAAGTTTGATGAATTTTGCACATTCAGAAAATAATAATAATCATAATAATAAAGGCAGAATGTAAAGAACACCTATTTGGTGAAATAATGGCAGAAATTTCCCTAAACGTTGGGAAAGACATGGACAACCAGATACAGGAGGGATTGAGAACCCCAAGCAGACCTGGCCAGAAAAGAACCCTCCACATCATATAATTAAACTGCCCAGATACAGAACAAGGATGGAACGTTGAAAACTGCAAGAGATGTGCTGAGTCACTTTTTACAACAAATCCATCAGAACAACAGCAGATTACTTAACAGAAACTTTAAAGGCCAGGAGGACATGGGATAATGTGTTTTAAGCCTAGAAAGAAAATAACTTCTAACTTAGATTACTGTATCCAGCAAAGTTATCCTTCAGAGTGGAAGGAGAAATAAAAACCTTCCAAGATAAGCCCTAACTAAAAGAATTCCTAACTTCTAAACCAGCATTACAGAAGGTACTGAAAGGAATACTACACACAGAAAAGAAAGCAAATGCACACAATCACAAAAGCACAGGAAAGAATAACTCACAAGAAAGTAGATCAGCAAATGAGAAGTAAGAAAGAGTCAACACTATTAACTCAAGAAGCCATCAGATCTCCAAGATGAATAGGGAGAAAAGTGAACATGGGAAAGATGAAACAACATAGAAAAGTGAGAAAACCAGAATAAAAACAACTAAATGACAAGAATTGGTGCATAACTTCAGTGGTAACCCCGAGTGCAGATGGTCCTAATTCAACTAAAAGGTGAGACTGGCTGACTGAGTTAAAAAACAAGATCCAAAAATTTGATGCTTGCAAGAAACTCATCTACAAAGACACACATAGACTGAAAGTGAAAGGATGGGAAGAGGTATTCCAAGGAAATAGAACCTGAAAGCGACAGTAAATAGTGATACGGTGATAACAGGCTTCAAGCAAGAGTGAGTCAGAAGAGAAAAAAGGTCACGGCATTGATAAAGGGAACAATCCACCAAGAAAATAGAATGATTGTAAATATGTATATGCCAAATATCAGAGCACCTACTTTTATAAAACACTACTGGAT